GGCACCCTCGGGATCTGGGCTCCTGATATCTTCTTCGCGGGACGGAGGCAGCGGCGGCAGATGGCGGCTGACATCCCTCCTGACATCTTCGCTTGTATTCCCTCGCAGGGCCTCGCGTAACAAGGCTCTCAGGAGCCACGTGTGAACGCTGTAAAATTTCATTACACAGAGGCAGCGCGGGGGGCGGGAATGAGCCAGGCATTATGCAGCCTGTCACTCTCCCCAGAACACTGGGCATATGGTTCGTTTGCCTCCTTGAGATCATGCTACCTGATGTACTAAGCACGATTGCATTAAGGAGCCGGTGATACAAAATACAATCAGGGTTATTTGCTGGTTATTAGGGAGCTCTGCCGGGGAGAGAAAGGGGCGGGGTGGCCGGCCTACTGGTAGCCATGTCCTGGCTGCAGCTGCATGGAAGAGGCACGTGTGGATGGGGTCTTGATTAAGACTGAGCACTAGCGGGTAAAGGCAGGAGAAAAAGGCATGGTGGTGATTTAGAAAGGAGACATTGAGCGCTGGCCAGTTTGGCTCAGTGGATATAGCATTGGCCTGCAGACTGAAGGGCCCCCGGTTTGATTCCTGTCAAGGGCACATTCCTCAGTTGCAGGCTCAATCCCTAGTAGGGGCTGTGCAGGAGGCAGCTGATCGATGATGTGTTTCTATCTCTTTATCCCTCTCCCTCTCTCTCAAAAAATCAATAAAAATATATTTTTTAAAAAAAGGAGACATTAAGAGACACACAGAGCAGGGTCAGGGGGAAGGAGCATGCAGTGCCGGCCCCTGGCTCCAGGCTGCCAGCATGCTGCCCACGGGGCAGGTGGGCCTGCGGCTCCCGGAGACAGTGGGGCAGCTCCATGCAGGGCAGTGGGCTCTGTAATGAAGGGAAGGACTGTCGGGTTGATCAAGTGGCAGGATGAAGACAAGCTAGTTTATCCTGGTCCCTCTGTGTGTCTGTGTCAAGGGCCTCCAGACAGGTCTGCCCAAAGGCACCTTCTACCCACGGCGAGAAGAAAGATCTAGTGCTCCCTCAATGGCTACCACAGAGAACGGCCTGCTCCCCTCTCGTCCTCGTCTCCTTCCCCTGGTCTCTGCTTTCCCTCCACGCTTCCTGACTTCTCTCCATGCCCCGCCCCCAGCCCTGTCCCACCGTGGAACCTGGGCCTAGGAGGGCATCTCCGGGCTAGAGTGCCTGGGGATGGAAGTAGAGAGGGCCCGCCAAGATTTTTTGTTAAACTTCATCCGAGGGTATTTTTTCTTAGAGAGATTGGAAGGGAGGGGGAGAGAGAGAAACATCTATGGAGAGTGACACATTGACTGGTTGCCTCCTGTGCATACCCCAACCAAAGCTGGGGATCCAGCCTGCAACCGAGGTACCTGCCCTTAACCCTTTAGTCCACAGGCTGACGCTCCAACCCCTGAGCACACTGGCCAGGGCAGGGCCCTCCAAGTTTTACTCCTTAAAGGCAAAAATACTAAATAAGCTCCTTTACTAGATTTCATGCCACCTAACTGGGTCAGCTGTTCCCACGTGATACATGCGTTTGCTAAGGCCAGGGCCACGCAGGGTGTAAGGCTATCATTGATGTAGGATGATCCAGACTGAACCCCGATGGCAGGTCTGGGTGCAACTACCCATAATACTCTCTGAGCCGGGGAGGGTGGGGAGTGTGTTTAATGCAGTTGGCTCCTAGCTGTCCAGCGTCCGCTTGGTGAAGTCTGTGGCCCGTGGTCCCTTTCTGAGACCAATGGCCAAGGGACAGAATCTGTGTTCTCCAGGGACCCAATTCTTGGGGAATGAGCTCAGCCTCATTCATGACGTCTTTGTCGCCTGGCTCTCTGTGGTGAACGCGGTACAAACATACCCACGTGCTCTGTGTCAACTTCGTTTCTCAGAAATGCATCAGAATGTGAAAAAAAAAAGGGTCCTTAAATTTTTTGGAATATTGAAAGTGTCTGGTATACTGCCCAGCACACAGGAAGCACTTAAAATGGTTGTTTTCTTTATGAAAGCCCATTTGCCTGACATATTGCTGTGTTTTATTTTATTTATTTTGGGAATTAGGGAGAACTGGGATAGAGTTGAGGTTTTTTAGGAACACGAGGAAAAAATGTGGTAGAGTACTTACGAATGCAGTTATTATACCTTCAACATAGAAAGCATCTCTCTCCCTCTCTCATTGCTGCTGTTCTGAGCTTGTATGCCCACGTGGTTAATGTCCCTTCAGAGGACACATCTAAGCTGTGTGTCCAGGGCAAACACTTCCTGGCGAATGCCCCAGGGATCACCAGGCAGACGGAGATAAATCCAGACCTTTGGTTTCGGTCTTCACTCGCTAAGTGGCTCCACAAGGGAAAAAAGAGCCATTAATCAAACTTGGCAGGTGTGGGCTTGGTGCCCCGGTCACGTGCAAATGCCCCAAGAGCTCAGCGTCGTCTGTGTCCTCTGACTTCCATGACAGGGGCTGCAGTGTCACCAGGCGGGGAGGTGAGGACCTGTCCTGGGGTTCGCATTAAGGCTGGACCCCAGCAGTAAACCCACCCAATCACCCTGCCCCCCCACACTGCCCTGTCACCAAGTCTCATACAACCATCTGAGAGGAGCACGATTTGCAGCATTTTTCAAGTGACCCGGCCAAGGACCCATGAAGGGAAAGAACTGGCTGGACCCAGCCTGTGTGGCTCAGTAGTTGAGCATTGACCTAGGAACCAGGAGGTCACAGTTTGATTCCAGGTCAGGGCACATGTCCAAGTTGCAGGCTTGATCCCCAGTAGGGAGCGTGCAGGAGGCAGCCGATTCATAATTCTCTCTCATCATTGATGTTTCTATCTCTCTCTCCCTCTCCCTTCCTCTCTGAGATCAATTTTTTACAAAAGGACTTGCTGGAAGTTATAGAATGAGTGAGGAGCAGAGTTGGGACTTGAATGCAAATCCTCAGACTCCATTAACTTTACAGAAAACTCTCCCTTAGGAAAGGATAGTGTGTGTGGCATAGGTGGTCAGCTGAACACCTTATCCACGTTTCCCTAGTTTAGCAGTTGGGCTAGAATAGGAGCTCATTAAATATTTACAGAATGAATGAATGAACACATCATGGACCTATTAATTATTAAGTGAGTTTTGGGTTTCACTTTAGGGCAAGTGGACATAAGCAAAACAAAGTAAACCCTGACATCCATTGATTTACTGACCCAGCAAATGCCTACTGACGCTCCTCCATGCTCCGGGTCTGTGCTGGTGCTGGGCTCATGCGGTGAACTAAAGATGGGGCTCAGGACCCTCGGGGTGCTTACAGTTGGCATCCAGGGCTCTCTCACCCCCGACCCATCCAGCCAGATCATGCCACCTGTTGTGACAATTCTCAGAAATGACCATGTTTGGCTCAGTCACTTGGCCACTTGGGCAAATTCAGGATCAAGGACACAATTATCATTAGGACAGAATGTGCCAATACACCTGCCAGGTGAACAGCTGCATTGATTTCAAATATGTGATCTCTGTTCCGACATCACTGCCTGGGATAGTGGATCATGCTTCTTAAAGGTGCTTTCCTATCATTTCATCTTCAATAGATCCCGGAAACAGTGACCTCAGAGGGAACAAGTGGGCCAAGTGCTTTGCCCAAGGTCAGGTCCCTGGCCAGTGATAGAACTGGGACCAGAACCCTGGTTTCCCATTCCCCCCAGGGCTCTGTGTCGAACACCCCACTCTCTCTGAAGGAACATACCCGGGCCTTCTTCCGTGTGGGTGTGTGTCTGCGGTGCTGTCGACCTATTTCAGTTGGAGGAGAACTCGCGGCTCTGACAGCCACCACGGGGACAGCCCCCTAAGGCAGAGCTCCTGAAATAGCCCTGGCTTCAGTCGAGCACACAGGCCGGTAAGAACATGGGAACCACACTGAGCACTGTTGCTTGATGTGAAATTTGGTTAAATCCTTTGATGACAGCCCTTTGGAACATACAGAGTTGAGTAGTTCCCATAATCCACACAGCAGGAAAGGCCCGCGTGGGGACTGGAGACCTGGCCTCACGCCGCGGCCTCGTCCCTGACTGGCTGTGGTGTGCGCAGTTTCGGTTCACACAAGAGTGGAGGAAATTGCCTACATATATCTATGGCGCCATTTATATAAGTAGGCAATGCAGTGTGATTCCTTTAAATAGGCGTCTTTAGAGCCCTCTCAACCATCCCCAGGTAGTTACGCTTTATTGGAAGCAAGAGTTAGTGACAATGACATTTCAAAGTAGACAGGACCATGTAGAAATTTTATAACAGAGTAAAAAGGTACATTTCCCTGTACAGGTATTTCCAAGGTCAAAAACTAAAAACCTTCCTTCCCTCCCTCCCTCCCTCCCTTCCTTCCTTCCTTCCTCCTGTCCTCCCTTCTTCCCTTCTTCCCTCCCTGTTCTCTCTGTCAGAACTCCCCTGGCAACAGGAATCTCCTCCACATCTTTTGAGAGGAAACCACTTCCTTCTCCAGAGCCTCTCTCCTTGGCTCGGGTGCAGAGCTCATGCTGTGGAGAGTGGACACCTGTGTGACCATTT